TTTTCGTCAAAATATAAAAGTAACCTTTATTCTTGGGATTTGTTAAACATCGCCCACAAATTACTACATAAAGCCCACAAAATTCACTTGGTTTGACAATATTGCCCTTGACCTAAAAAAAACACTCACACTCTCATCACTCACACTCTCATTGCTCATCTTCTTTCAACCTCTCTAAAAAAAAAAATTCAAACAACGGCAATGTCGAGGCCGCAAGGCAAGGAATTGGCGGCGGCGGCGGAGGGAAGGAGGTCCCAAGGAGGCAAGGTACAATTTGTAAAAAAAAAAAAAAAAAAAAAAAGGAAAAACCGCCGTGACGGAGGTGGGGCGCCCTGGCTGGACGCCCAGCCAGCGGTGGTGGCGCCAGCTGCAGACGCCGCCACCAGTAGGCTGGCGCCTGGGCTGGACGCCATAGCCACGGTTGTGGCGTTTATTCAAGGCGCCGCAGCCGTGGCTGTGGCGTCCAGCCCAGGCGCCAGCCCACTGGTGGCGGCGTCTGCAGCTGGCGCCACCACCGCTGGCTGGGCGTCCAGCCAAGGCGCCCCCCCCCCCCTTTTTTATATTTGTTTTAAAATATTGTTTTAATTTTATTTTTTTATTTTTTTTTGTGTAATATCTTTTTGAATTGTTTTTATATTTTGTTGTTTATTTTTATAAATTTTTTCAATTTTTTTGTATTTTTTCTATGTTTATATTTTGTTTACAATTATTTGTTTGTTTTTTTTGTACATTTTGTGTAGAATTCACTGGGTCGTTCAAACCAGAATTCACTGGGTCATATCAGCACAATCAGGATGCACAAGGAAAAGATGAGTCACCTCCGCTGTATCTTCATCAGAATCAAACCAGAACAGGTAACCACGTGATTGTGCCTAGTGTAGCAGCTGCTGTATAGGGTTCCTTCCCTCTGACCGTTCAAACCTGAGTTGCTGTCTGACGTTGTAGATGTGTCTTCGGTTTGGATGGTCTTCTGGAAATTTCTCTAACACAGATGCTAATATTTTAGCAGGCTTGACTTGAGCATCACTCATTTCTTTCACAACTAGTTTCGCAGCAGGACTTAAGCCGCTCAGCTGTCGATGACCCTCTTCATATACTATCATCTCATGGTTGTGATACCCCCATTTAGAGTAACCAATCACTTCCCAACCGTCACGACTCCGTAGTTGTCGAACCTTTACTCTGAACTCACACCCACAACCTTTCCGCTTTGTATCAAACCGAGTGGCTGTACGAAAATCTCTTTCTTCTCTTTTGCGATAACGGTCACATCTCAAAATGCGATCCATTCTACCATCCCGTTGAGATTTATGAGTTACTACTACCAAGCAAAATCCAGCTGCAATTGCAACCTGTTTTGCCCAATCAATCGCCTGTTGAGCTTCTTCGAATGGACCATCATTTCCAAATATCCCACTGTAATCATTTCCGTCTCCACCATAACCCTGCATCAATTATATATTACAATAAATACATTTAACGAATAATACATTTAATTTCTATATTTACACAGAATTAACACAAAAAAAAGCATAATTATATATAATCAAACTTAATTTTTATAAAAACCCAATTCGAATTTTCAAACTAAATTTAAAAATATACCATTTCGAATTTTCAAACTTAATTTTAAAAAAATCTATTTCGAATTTTCAAAATTAATTTAAAAAAAACCCATTTCGAATTTTTTTAAAAAATCATTTTCGATTTTTTTTTTAAAAAAAAATAAATAAAAAACAACAACAAAATCAAAAAAGAAAAAAAAAATTAATTTATAAGGGTGGCGTCTGCCAGGGCTGCCACAGCCACTGGACTAGCGCCTGGCAGGGCCGCCTCAGCCAGTAGAGTGGCGCCTGGCCAGGACGCCAGTCAGGTGGTCTGGGCGTCTGGGCTGGACGCCACTCTGGTGGTTCTGGCGTCTGCCTTGGACGTCCAGGCTACGGTTTGGGCGTCCATCCTAGGCGCCGGAGCCACTCCGACGGTAAACCGTGAATTTTAACGGTGACTTACCTCGTTTTCCGTCGACGTACCTCCGGCGTTCCCCGCATCTCCGGCCTGCCCTCCGGTCTCCCCCGGCGAGCCAGTACGGCTCCACATTTTTTAAACCGAGATTATTTCAATTTTAGAAAATGGGCATAATGGTCACACCAAATCATATTTGTGGCCTTTATATGGTAATTTGCGGGCGATGTTTAGCGATTCACTTATTCTTTTGTTTTAAATCTTTCAACTAATAAAAGAACAAATTCGCTTATTTATGAAAATAACCTCATTTCCCCATAAGAGAGTTAATCTCTCATCCGTAAACTAACTACAATACTACATTGGTTTATCATGGCAACCTCTATTACTCAATTAATTACCTTACATGTGAAGTGATTACACTACGAGACCACTTGGCTAACCACATATAAGAGTTTGTGATTTATTGTTGTATTCAGCTATTCACCCTTTAATCAACAAAAGTCCATAAATAATTCTAATATTATATTTATACTTACACATTATAATATCAATCCAACAACTCCATCACCTTTTATATACACCCGATTACACATAGAGGTAACTGCATCCAATGGTAGTAAATTATGCTCATTTGACATTTTTTTCTTTTCAATTTAAGTTATATTGTTTTCATCTTCTTAGGGTCTATTCTGATTGACTGAATTGAGCCGAGCCGAGCTGAACTAAACTTAATATATATATATATATATATATATATTATATATATATATATATATATATATATATATATATATATATATATATATATATATATATATATATATATATATATATATATATATATATATATATATATATATATTCTTAGGGCCTGTTCTGATTGACTGAGTTAAACGGAACTAATTGGGATTGAACTGAATTGAATATTTTATGAAAAAAAAAATTAAGATAAAAAATGAATTGAACTGAATTTATTGAAGCTAAACTGAAATTAAGCTGAAGAGATTAGAGCCTTGTTCATCTTTGTTAAACTGTTAAGACAACATGAAGCTTTTATTTAAAAGTCGAATGGATTATTAAAATTTAGGGAAAAAAATAGTACTACTACTATTAATTAAAATTACAAAATCCCAAAACAAACTCATATGACCGTTGAATTAATTAGGCTTACAAGTTTCGCACATATTCTGTTGGCTAAAAAATAAAAATAGATATAAAAAAGTCGAAAAGTTCAGATATTACGTTATTACGTCCCGTTTGCTGTCTCTTTATCAGAAAAGGGGGTCCTACTCCATTGTTCTCTCTTTCTCTGTTCCCTTCTCTTTATATTCACCCTTTTTACACACAAGTGACACAACTCATTCATAGTACTACTCGCACCTCCACCGTATTAGTTAGATAAAGCTCACAAATGGAACCTTAAAATCATTAATGATACTGTACTTCGTAGAATTAACTGATTCATCCTTTTTAATTAAACTTTTGATTAAAACTAGTTATTTGATATTAAGAACCAGCGTCACAAAAAGGTTACTAGTTCAAATGTTATTGCATATCAAACACCAAAATACTTTAAACTAGATGATGTTAGATTATACTCCTATATCGGTTTTAAAATAAAACTATAATTAAAAATTGTTACTCATAAATATACTTAGTGCAATTCGTGTATATCATTACCCATTATGAAGATAACTTTTTAACAATTTTGGATAACTACTTTTAACTTTTTAGAATAAGGGTTAACATGTTACAAAAATTAACTAGTTTTTAGGCTCGGGTGATGCCCCGGATTATTATATGGAACTGATCAGTCATATATGTTGTAATTTATGATTCAATTTTCTTCTAATTAAATTTGTTGTTCATAATGACATATGTTATATATTAATATTTTGTATTCAAAAGATCGTACAAAAAATCACATATCTTGGTGGTAAGACAATTAGTTCCTGAGGAGAATTTACTAGATACGTGGACGTTGTTAAAAACGCCTTTTAATAGATTAGTATAGATGTACACAAAGAGGTGATTTTTAAGAGACATGTTTAACAAAGTTTTTTTCTATGATGCTAACCAATTATTAGTTGTTTGCATTAATTAATTTGAATAGCTGATTGTAATTGTTTAAAAAGCTAAAAGCTATAGTAATTGTCAAACATGGCCATAGTAAAATGTAAGGGCCTGTTCTCATTGACTGAACTCAGCTGAACTGAACTGAGCTGAACTGAACTGAATTGAAATGAATATTTTATAAGGAAGGAAATTAGGAGCTGAGTTGAAGTTAACTGAACTGAGCTGAAGTGAGCTGAACTGAATTGAACTGAATTTCAACGTAAGAGAACAAGCCCTATATCTATCCATAAACTTGCTCTATGTATTAGAAAAATTACAAATTATCGTATCCTATATGTACTAAAACTCTTTTTGCTTTAAAAAGCTCCTAACCAAACACCCTCATATTTTCCAAATACTCTATCTTTTATCCAATTGTTTTACACAAAAAAAAGTACTTTCTCCGTGTTACTGTAAAAAAATTACTACGTACAACACTGTGATTAGAAATTTGAAAGCTTTTTTAAGCAAATTAGTGAGTATTGTAATTTTTATGAAAGGAACAAAGCACTAGTAGAATAAATGTAATGGGAAGCCCCAAATGGCAAGCGGTTTTGCAATTCCGCTTACAATATTGTAAATGGGAAGCGGTTTAGGGTGAACCGCTTGCCAAATTGTAATGGCAAGCGGTTTAGGGTGAATCGCTTGCCAAATTGTAAATGGCAAGCGGTTTGGAACATGAACCGCTTGCCATTTGTTTAAAAAACCCTAAAATCTCACGCTCTCTCTACCGCTTGCCATTTGTTTAAAAAACCCTAAAATCTCACGCTCTCTCTCCTCCTCCTCTATATTTCTCACGCTCTCTCTCCTCCTCCCCTCAGTTTTCACGTTCTCTCTCCTCCATCTCTCTATTTCTCACGCTCTCTCTCCTCCTCCTCCTCTCTATTTCTCACGCTCTCTCTCCTCCTCCCTTCCATTTTCACGCCCTCACTCTCTCCAGCTCTCCTCCATCTCCTTCTCTTTCTTCTCTCATCTCCGTTCTCCATCTCCATGAGTTTTAATTTCATCGCTTCTCAGTCCGGTGGTGGTGCGACCATCGAAAAATTCGACCCACGACCATATTTTCGAGCAAATTCGAGCCAAGACCATCCTTTTCGATAAATTCGAGTTTAGACCATAATTTTCGAGTTTTTTAGGTCAAATTCGACCATAAAACTCTAGATCTAGAGTTTTCTTGGTCGAATTTGACCCTTAAAACCCAAATTTCAAGCCAATTTCGAGGTTATGGTGGAATTCATGGTATTTTTTTTTTGTAAGTTTTTATTTTATTTTATGGTGATGTGTGGTTGAATTGATTTGTTTCAGGCCGATCTGGTGTTGGTGGGGGTTTTGGTGGGGGTCGTGGTGGGCGAAGTGGGTTGGGATCTGGTGTTGGTGGGGGTCTTGGTGGGCGAATGGGCTGGGATCTGATGGATGGTGGGGTCGTTTTAGGCGAAAATGGCTGGGATTTGGTGGATGGTGGTGGTGCGCGTGCGTGGACGGTGGTGGTGGTGGTGCATGTGGACGGTGGTGGAGCAAGTGAACAAGAGCTGTTGTTGTTGTTTTTTTTTTTTTTTTTTAATCAAGCTGTTGTATTATTTTTATTACTTATATTAATTTTTTTCTTTTTATGAAATGTAATACTTACAAGTTACAACAATCAATTAATTTATCTAAATATTATTGGTTTTACATATAGTTTGTTCGTGTATCAATTTTAGTGAAAAACACTAAAAAAAATATAATTATTTTTTATAGCCATAATGGGCAGCGGTTTGGCGCCAAAACCGCTGCCCATTCACTACAAATGGCAAGTGGTTCTGAACCGCTTGCCAGAACCACTTGCCATGTAAAAGGCTAATGGCAAGCCCCCTAAAAGCATGCGGTTCAGAACCGCTTTCCATTAGGGGGTTTGAACCGCTTGCCATTACATATTTTCTACTAGTGAAGTAATATCTTCACTTTTTTCTTACACTAGGGATTCCAACGCGTGCGATGCGCGCGATATAGCTAGCATTTTTAGAAGAGTTATTATCGATGTTCTCTATGTCCTATGCTAGTTTATGTATAATATTTTATTAAAGCTATTTGCATATAGACGATAAATGTGTTGGATATTGTGTAGTTGTGCAATGTTCTAAACTTTAGTTGAGGCGTTGAGCTACTTTAAAATAACACCCACATAAAGCAAAAACCTTTCGTTGTTTAGTGACTAATTCATGTAGTTGATGAACCATAACCCCCATTAAATATAGAAAATTTTAAACTTTATTATTCCATGCTTTATTTAATTTCTAATTAATTAATTGGTCTTAAGAAAAATTACATAATTACACTTGAGGGTAAGAAGGTAAACATTTATTTTGAAGGGTATAGTGGTCCGTGCACTATTACTAAGAGCAATCTTCTACTTTTTATAAGGTAGGGATTCACCCACCCGACTCTTTAAACCGAGAGTTGAGATCGAGTCCCGTGCACAACGCCACAATCTTTGTTGCGCCCAAACACCCAATCGACCCAAGAAAATCCAAATATAAACACCAAATATAAAACAACCCTTTTGTGTGAACAACTCGAAAAACTTGAGCAACGGCTACACACTGACATTCAGCTTACCAACAAAACTCCCTTTGTATTCTCCCCATCTTAAGTACTGTTCACTGCTCATAATTTCTCTACCGTCCGATCTTTCTGACATCTAAATCAACCTTACATCATTTCCACATTTCTTCTTTCTTCCCCTCTTCTTATAATCCCCTGCTTTTTCCAAATATTTCCTTACTTTTACACTTTCTCTCTCTGAAACTTTCTCACTCTTCCTCAACCTCAACAATGTCTGCTAATATTATAGCTCTGTTGTTCTTGTTTCTTTCAACTGTTCTTGCTCAAGGTGAGAAATTTACTTCAGTTTTTAACTTCTGGGTATTTTTTATTTATCAAATTTTGCTTAGTTTTTGTTCACAAACATAATTTATCCATTTTTTTATGCTTATATTTCTGGGTATTTGCTACTAATCCAAGTTATCCCAAGAAATGCATTTTTTTTTTCATTTGTCCTGTTCAAAATTTACAGTTGTCAACTTTGAAACTTGCTTGAACATTAGTTTTTCTTTTTTTTTACAAAAAAAAAAAAAATAAATAAGAAAATGTTTTAAGTTCAATTTTGAAAATGTGGGTAGGAGATTTTCCAGAAGGTATTACACTTTGGGCAAATCAGTAATTGCATGTTTTCTGCTGTAAGAAATTAGACTAAAACTGTAGCAGTTGAGAAACAGTAAAACTCATTGAATGTGTTGTACTTTATTTTCATCTGCTTTCAGCAAATTTTTCAAAAGCAATGTGAAATAATGTATACATGTTTTCCAATTTAAGTGAAAATTCAATTTTGAGCCATTTATAGATGCCCCAGAATTTAATGTAATTTTGGTATAAATGTATACGAACAGTTGCCAAAAATAATGTCATTTTGGTAATGTCTTTTTTTTTTTTACTTTATGAAGTTAATGTGTAAGAAATTTGGCTAGATTATTAATTTAATGTAATGATGTAAATCTGCAAAAAATATTGTTAAGAAGCTGCTTAAGCTATTGTTGCTCTAAATCTGTAATGGGTGAATTAGATGATTTATTAAATAAAAGTTTAGGGGTAGGAAATTCTAGAGTATAATATTAACTTAATGTCTGCTAATAATCTTGTTGAGAAGCTGCTTAAGTTATTGTAATGGGAGTTGGGTGATTAGTTTAATTAAAAAAATGGTGACTGCATATACTCGTACCTGGTAGTATTTGTCTGTTATTGTTGTTGTTTTATCAAAGCATGGATTAATTGCTTAATTTATGTTAGAAGACTGTGTACCTCGTTAATGACAGGAGTCAAAGATTAAAAAATCAAGGCAAACTTTATAGAAATGGTAATTGCATTGGTTTTGGTGGGCTGAGAATTACCACAACAATATTGAAGCATATGGATGCAATGCCTTCTTTATGCATATATGTTTATCATTTTCTCCTAATTATCTACCAGAGGAATCGAGAAACCTGAATTTGTAGAATAATTTTTTTTGATGGGTTTTTTGGATAAGACCTCTAACTTGGGATTAGAAAGGTCTGTTAAGACTAACTGATATTTAGTGTAAAAAATTGCTATTTAAGTTGATTAAAGTGGAGAATGTGCACTCTTGAGAAAAGTGAAAGTTTCAGGAATGTTTATATGTAGATATATAACCCCTCGTGTCTAATTATGTTTGCCATTCGATTGCTAGTGGAGATAGTGTCGTTGCTATTTTATTGTCGAATGACTTAGTGCCAAAAACTTAAGTTATTTAACATAGTTGAGACATTGCCTTGGTTGATTGTGTCTAATCTTTTGAGTTTAAGAGCTTTTGCTGCACAATTACATTTATAGATTTTAGTACTCCGAAGCAAGCAATGTGAGGGTGTATAGCTGTGTACCATCAGAATGTCATGGCCGTAGTATGCTGCCATTACAAATGGTTTGATTTAGAATTATTACGCATGTAACTGTGTAAGCATCAGGATTCTTAGGTCTGCAAAGCTGTATGCTCTCAGGATACCTGATCTCGAGCTGCTTAATTAACACCATCAACCATTTCTAACCTCTTGCCTCGTTTTTTTTTATGCACTAGATGTTCATATAGTTTCCTTGTGCATTGCAGATGCTTTTATTGGAGTTAATATAGGAACAGACCTCTCAGACATGCCTCACCCCACTCAAGTGGTTGCACTATTGAAAGCCCAGCATATTCGACACGTTCGCCTCTATGATGCTGACAGGGGATTGCTTCTTTCACTTGCCAATACTGGTATACAAGTTACAATCTCTATTCCTAATGATCAGATCCTTGGTATTGGTCAATCAAACTCCACTGCAGCTAGGTGGGTCTCACAAAATGTGGTCGCACATTATCCAGCAACCAACATTACCGCAATTTGTGTTGGCTCTGAGGTTTTGAGCACAATCCCAAATGCTGCCCCTATCCTTGTGAATGCCCTCAAATTTATCCAGTCAGCACTTGTTGCGTCGAATCTTGATGGCAAAATCAAAGTCTCTACACCTCTTTCTACCTCGGTTATCCTAGATTCTTTCCCACCATCCCAGGCCTTTTTTAACCATTCCTTAAACCCTGTCCTGGTACCATTGCTTAAATTCTTGCAATCAACTAATTCATATCTCATGCTCAACATATATCCTTACTATGATTACATGAATTCTAATGGGGTTATTCCATTAGATTATGCTCTTTTTCAACCTCTTTCCGCAAACAAAGAGGCTGTTGATTCAAATACACTCCTCCATTACACAAATGTCTTTGACGCCATGCTGGATGCTGCTTACTTTGCCATGGCTGATCTAAATTTCACTAACATCCCCATCATGGTCACGGAGTCAGGCTGGCCATCGAAGGGGGATGCCAAAGAGCCCGATGCCACTCTCGAGAATGCCAACACTTACAACAGCAATCTTATAAAGCACATTCTCAACAATACAGGAACACCAAAACATCCTGGAATCGGTGTTAGTACTTACATCTATGAACTATATAACGAGGATACAAAGGATGGTGCCACCTCAGAAAAGAATTGGGGATTATTCGATGCAAATGGGAAGCCAGTATATATCTTGCGTCTCACTGAGTCTGGGTCTGTTTTGTCTAATGATACAACAAACCAGACTTACTGTACTGCAAGAGATGGAGCTGACAAGAGGATGGTACAGGCGGCGTTGGATTGGGCCTGTGGACCTGGAAAGGTGGATTGTTCCCCTTTATTACAGGGCGAGCCTTGCTATGAGCCTGATAATGTATTTGCTCATGCTACTTATGCTTTCAACACTTATTATCAGAACACAGGAAAAGCTCCGGAATCTTGTGACTTCAATGGTGTGGCTGAAATCACCACCACCGATCCAAGTATGATTAAAACTGCAGACTGTATATTCAACATACTTTCGAATATCAATTTCTAATCTGTGATTTTTATCTGCTGCAGGTCATGGCAATTGCACATCAAGTACGGGTGGTCTCAATGGCACCTTCCCCAATGCGACTGCACCATCTATGAACTCAATGAGCTCAGATTCTACAAGTAGCATGTTTTCTCAAAGTTCTTCATTACTATTAATGGTTGGAATTCTAACTTGGAGCATAATTTTCTTACCAACTGCAAGATTCATGTAAGATCTATGCTTTGGACGCGAACCTATTTTTGCTGGGGTGGAAACTGAAGGGACCTCCTCGTTTCCCTGATAGATTTTCGCCCTACAGTACTGCCACTCCAAACTGTCAAATAGGAACACAGTTGTAGGTATCAATTGATGTTTAGCTGTTTTTGTTCTATTATTTGGCTGATGATTTCTGCACACCATTATTTATATTTGCGCTCCGATTTTACACAAAACACTCCTCTCCAATTGGGACTCGGGGTGTGCGGATAGCAAACCAAATGGTGCAGAAATCAATTCCCAAGTTATTTGTTTGATGATTGTAGTTGGGCCATATTTTGTCTTCCCCTTCACCTCACTAAATATTTGGGTGCAGGTTGGCCTGACAATATCCTGTTTATCAGAGGACATAAATCTTAGCTTAGGATTTATTTTAACGGCATGGTAGAACTAGAGAAAATTCATTCAAATGTGAAGGTTGTTATGAATACAATTGTAACACAATTATTCAATGCACA